GAATGCCAGCTTCAGCTGCATGAATAGAAGCCTTTACTTTGGCAGTCATTCCACCCCTTCCCACTCTAGATTTGTCTCCAAAAGTAATTTCATTTTGATGCTTTTCCTTAATGTATGTATGAATAAGCTTTGAATGTGGGTCACTTGGAGGGCCACTATAAAGACCCTCTACATCACTCAACAAAATAAGAAGATCAGCTTTTAATTCCAATGCCAATAAAGCTGATAAACTGTCGTTATCCCAAAATATGCCAGAAGAATCCTGCACAAAATGTTTTTGGGGCACTTTAAGTATTCTCAAGTTTATTCTCATACCTAACCTGTTTTTGGCAAAATGAAACATTGAAACACCCTCTATATATAAGTTTAATAGAATAATGAATTTCGACAAATGCTGAGAATACTTGACAGACAAAGAAGGATCATATTGAAGGATAAACAAGCAAACAATTTTCCTTAAATAGGTTGAGTTAGGTTGATGGACAGATTACTAAATTAAATTTTATTTACCATACACAGATCAATCTCAAGAAAAATTGGATACAGAATCAATATTCAAGTTTAATACATAAAGACAGAAGATTCATCTAAAGAAAACAAATCTAATTTAATTCCCAACTCTACTTCAAGCTAGCATAACAGTTGTTCATATCACCAACGAATAATACAACAGTGACACTATTTTTTTTTTTTTTCTTTATAAAGGTGCATAGCCTGAAGTAATCAGCTCCAGAGATTAAGTTCATTTTTGATAACAAATTAGACAAGTAATGTAACAAACCTCATACGGAGCTTTCCTGGTACTAACTGCATCATTCTCGTTGAATATAGGAATAACTTTTAGCGCTAACAGTGATTTCACAGTTTCGCTGAGTTGCTTTCTGAAATCTTTGTCTCTAAAATCATTGTCCGTTACAAGAAGCTGAGCAGATGTCATATCCAGCTGCAAGGCAGGTAGAGAAAGGAGATAACACATCAATGTAGGCTATCATTAAATAAGGCAGAAATGGGAAATTATCTTAAAAAGTGGGTTGGAGTCTAGACATCTATATTAATTTAGCTATATTACTAGTTGACATGAGATCTCCAACCTTCTTACACTGAGGACTGGACTTCTCGAGCATAAAATTTGCAAGACTAGACATCTATGGATAGTCTAATAATGGTCTTGCTAGGATAGGCTTTAATATCATCTTAAGAAAAAAGGTTACAAGTCTAACTTAATCTTACAAAACCAGTTTATAAGATCAGAATTTCCCTCCACTTATATATTCTAATTTGGTCATATCATTGATTGACATGAAATCTCTAACAAATAAAATGACAATAATGTAGAAAAACTAAGAGAGACGAGTAATACTAGTATTGGGTGAACGTAGCAACTCACTGTATTTTTTTATTGAATAAGAGATGACCTTTAAATAGCCATTGTACAACGTACCAAATTAACAAGAAGATAACAAAATATCTTATCAAAACAAATCTTATCAAAAACTATCTTATCTAAACTGAAACAAATAAAACAGATAAACTAACTCGGATATCTCTAAAATTTAAGATTATCCAACAAAACTCCCCCATAAGCTTAAATTTCTCCTTCTTCTTTCATTCCGAGTAACTTCCTTAACTCCTGAAATGTTGTTGTCGGCAATGGTTTTGTAAAGATATCAGCTACTTGCTCTTTACTTCCTACGTGTTCGAGCTCCACGCTTCCTTCTTTCACCTTCCCCATGATGAAATGAAATCGGACGTCGATGTGCTTACTTATTTCGTGATTGATTGAATTTTTGGCTAACTCGATTGCCGACCTGTTATCTACTCGGATCAATACTTTCTCAGCTTTCATAATTTCCAGTTTGCTTAGCAAGTTTCTAAGCCAAACTGCATGTTGGACACTCCAAGATGCTGCTACATACTCGGCTTCACACGTTGATAGAGCTACGATTGGTTGTTTCTTTGATAGCCAAGTAAAAGCCGTGTTTCCCATGAAGAATACGTACCCAACTGTGCTTTTCCATCATCCACATCTCCACACCAATCACTGTCCGAGTATCC